AGGCAGCTCTTTTTATAGTGCTGGCCACTCCTCGCTGGGTCTGCATTGGCTCAATTCAGCCTCTCCCTTTGTCCCAGACCCTGCATTGCATGTGTCCCGGTACAGTCCCAATGAGATTCAACTGCTGCTGAGGCACTTCGGCCTGGATTTGGACTTGAAAGTCTGGATCTGGACTGACCCTTTGACTTAGACCAGAACTGGGACTGTGCCTACTGACTTCACTTTCGGACAGGCACAACTCTAAACGAAGAGACACATTTACTACTTGAACAGGCACTTTCCATTGCACGAACAGGTATACTGCCTACACGTACAGACACACCYTTACTCGAACAGACATGACATACACATCTCCTGGTGAACAGGTAAGTCTTTTGATTATGCCCTTTGCCTTAGATTTAGATGTGCCTGTTGATAGAGAACTTGACTTTTGACCTGTTTTCACGTTTCTGAGCCCTGGCAAGATGACTTTTCATAATGCTTTACTTTTACAAGGCCCGTGCTGCTCTATTTTTACAAGGCCTGAGGCCTATATCGGGTAAAGGCCCTTTTAGATTTGAGTTCTACACTTTTTTTGCACTATCTTACTTGTCCTACTCTGCTTGGAGTGACTCTCATTGCATACTTTGCGTGAGTTCTAACTAATCACATGTTGATTGCTCGCGTGAACTATTCTGGAGACAACTAGCCGGAATAAGTGAGCGCGCTACTGTGTCTATGGTTGTGGTAACTATCAGTTACGTTGTATTACGGGAATGAGTTTTGCTGAAGAGACCCAGGCGATATGGCTGGGTATGGGGATTATCGTGATCGGGGCTATGATGATCGGGAGCGGCGGGACAGAGGGCGTGATGGACTGGATCATCGTGATAGCGCTTACGAGCAGGAATCGCGCCGCGCTCCGGTACGATGCTTCAATTGTGAAGAGCTGGGGCATTATGCTAACCAGTGCACTCAACCAAGGCAACAACGGGTATCTCGACCATCATCTTCGACAGATTCCAAGGGCGACCGGAGCCATGGCAAGCGGCCAGCATTTGGCGAACAACTGGAGTCAAAAGTGGCCGAAATCGGCAAGAGCATGGCAGTGGTCTGCCATTTTGTTGAAATAGAGCAACAGAAGAAAGCCATGAAAGAACGCAGGAGGATGGAGAGGAAGGAGGCGGAGGAGCGGGCGGAAGCTGAACGAGCGAAAGCCGAAATGAAACGTAAGAAGAAGGAAGAGAAGTTGCGACGTGACGCTGAGAAGTTCGAAGAGGTGAACAAGCATCTTGACATCAAGGTTGCTCTGCGTGTTGGTGAACTGCGAGATGACGTACGAGAGGACGTGCGGTTGGAGATCCGTGAGGCGATCAACGAGTTGTGCAAGACGGTTGCACGGGGTAAGCAAAAAGTTATCCCACCCTTGGGATCCGATCAGGAGAGCGGTGCTAGTGGCAGCGACACCGATGAGATCAGCGAACGAACACGTAAGCTGTGTATATCAGAGAAACGGAAACGGGGCCCGGAGCCGGTGTTTGAGGTTAGTCCTCCGATGGAGCAACCTCCAAAACGGACACCGAGGAAAGCGATGAAGCCTGCTAAGTTGACCGAACGCCTCACGCGTGCCAAAGCTAAGAGACGTGAGAATATGCCGACACCGAAGAAGACCCCACCATCAATTCGGAAGAAAGTCGATGCCGCTGGACTTGGAGCCGTCAAGTGCTTAAAGTTCGAGAAGAAGATCATGAGCGATCTCAAAGGTCTTGATGCGTTGGTACTGCAGAACATCTGCCGGGATGAAGGAATCCCTTATGGTGGTAAGTTTGAGTCCATTTTTTATATTGCCGCCCATCGGGCGCAACTTGCTTTTGGACCTGAAAGTGACGAGGCGGGGTCAACTGAACCTGATGACGTCAGCACGGATCTAGTCGAGGAAACGGCCGAGAGCACTGAGGGGTGATGTGCCTTCAGTATTGCCGATCTTTGGGATATCGTAAGTAGCTTAACTGTATTACGAGCCTTGTTGGGGTATGTTGACGCGCGTGTTGAGGAACTGTTGCGATTGATTGTCGTTCGTTTATCTTTCGCTGGGGAATTACGCTGGACACGCAAGTGTGTAGAGGCTTGGCTTCGGTTGTACAATGACTTCGGGACAGAGTTTGTTCATCTACGTTAGTGCGTTTATCTTGGTTGCTCACCCTGCTGCAAGTCTCAATACGTAGGTAAGAGTACTAGGCACCTGGATGTACGGTGGAAGGAGCACGTCTATGCGTGCAAAACACGAAAGCCTAACCACTTGTATAGATGGCTGAGTGTTTTTGGATTGGTTAAGTATGTGCTAATTCCTATCGACACGATCACAAACGGGGAACTGACGAAGTTGGAAGGCGTCTACATTAGGCAGTGGTCACCATTTTTTAATACCGCTGGCGTTAAAAAGATTGGGAGAGGACAAAAAACATGTAAAGGCCATAAGGAAAGGGCTAGAGCCGGGAAGGGATTGGCCGAGTCGGAGCAGATCATTGCCCCGTTACGTTTTCGTGTAGGTAACGAACCAGGATGGTCTCTTGACTTGTTCGGTATTCTCAAGGGTCGCGCCCGGGATGGGGAATGCTTTGAGATCTTCACGAGTGGCGGGAACATATGGCAGACACCGTGGAAGAAGTTGTCTCGGACGTATGGACGGACGAAGTTATTTAGGGAGGGTAAAGAAACCAAGTTACGGGACGCTAGACAGTGGTTTGAGGCAGGCGGTTCTATTTGTGTTGATCTGATTGTGGTCTGGAAACCTCAGTGTGTTTTTCTAAAGAATCTTCTCATCTCCGTCATGAAGAATCCCCGTTCTGTGAATACATTTTTTTCTTGGGGTATGAAAGCCTTGTTGCGGTTGTATAACGTCATTAAGGATTTCTCTAAGAAATCCACTCGGAAGTATTTGCGCCACCTTCTTTCACGTGTGTTCAGTGAGAATTTTAACTTCAGCCTGAGTGTCGACCTGCTGGTTAAGGTTAAGTTTGACGACCGACTTAGATTAAGTGAGCTCCGCAAGGTAGCGAATGACGTACTTGTAGGTTGTGATCTGCCGTCGTGCTTCAAGCAACGCGCACGAAAAAAGACTCGGATAGTTTGGCAAAAGAATCGGACTATCGGTGAGTTGTTGCACAATCACAGAGCCTTCGCAGCTCGTGAGGTGCTGACCTGCCAGTGTGCAGGCTTTACCTATCCCCGTGTGGATGGTCACGTGCACTTTCGCTTGAGTCATGAGTATGTGGAACAACCACTCTTGGTTAATGCGAACAATATTCCCAAGGTCCGATCGCAGGACCGGATTTCTCAATTGCGTAAGGAGATCGCTACCGACTTTCGAGACTGGAGGAACTTCGGTGCTGACATTGGTTACATTCCGGACACTGTCTTGTCAAATTGTATGATTAGCAATCCCGACAGAACGGATGCGTTGACTTTGACTGATGTGCTTGAGTTAAAGAGAAGATTTGAGGGATTACGATCCAGGGGAAACAATGATCATGTGCCCAAAAATCTATTACGAGGCTATGCTGGACACCTTTGCCATGAATCGTGGGTACAAGGTCATAGAGTCTAAGGAATGCATGGTGCTTCGAGAGATACGCGAGGATGTTCGCGCCGCTGGTCTGAGCAAATTTGCTCGTTGGGATACGAAGGGAGTTTTTGGTAATGCTTATATAATCCCTAAGCATAAGGACTTGACACGTTACAGACCGATTTGCCCCACATTTTCTGAGCCGATGGTGCGCACCGGCAGAATTGTGGCACGTGGTTTAAACTTCCTACTGGAAAAAAATCCACGAGACTCGCACTTTAGTCTACCTGTTGTATCGGCATTGACCGCCACCTGGATCTTATTAACTCTAAGATTAGGCGGATCGGTACAGTTAAGGATCTTAAATTGATGTCCTTTGATATTAAGGACATGTTCAGCAGGTTGCCGCATGCGGATATTGAGAAAGCAATAGATTGGCTATTTGATCACCATCGCAGTAAGGGCCGTGAGTGGGTGCAGGTCAACACAAGGGGAAGGGAGCGACTTTTGGTAGGACAACTGGCGCGAATCACTGGAGATTGCTGGACTTTCGTGATATTGTTGGGTTCCTGAGTATTGAGCTGAATCACACGTATACATGTGCTACGAATGTGATTATTCGGCAGGACGTGGGAATCCCGATGGGCAAGACAACCTTATGTGCTTATTCAGAGTACCTGTTTCTAGGGAGCCTCGGTAGGCTAAATCGTCAGGTGTTCAGTGTGCGTTTGGTAGATGATGTCATGATCGTGATGGCGTCCTTAACTCACGACATTTAGGAACGGGTGTCCAATTTGTTTGAGGAATGTTACCCGAAGGGTCTGTGCTTGAAGCGTACGGATGATGGGAGTGGCAGGATCGATTTCTTGGGTTGTGAGGTGAGATGCAGAAGCATGTATCCGTACTTGGGTTCTGTACAGTTATCCCGCAATGAGGCCAGTCTATGGACCAGCGATACCCTTGAAATTAAGAATGGGCAGTCGTATAGGTCATGGGGTAACAAGTTGCAGAAGAGTGCTACAGTGCACAGCTACCTGAGCAGGATCGATCAGAACACCTCCATCAGGAGCGAAATCCCGGAACGGGTTTTAGCACTGAGACGTGAACTAAGGCTGAGGGACTTTTCAGTGGAATTCTTCAACAAAGTGCTGAGGAGATTTGCCTTTAGAAGGGACCACGTGTGGCAGGAGACTGTTAAGCTGTTTCAATAGACGGTAGAAGTGTGGCAGGATCTGTATTACTGTTTTATTTTGAATTTCGCAAGTTTCAGACTGTTTTTCCTTTCTCGTTTTTTCTGTTTAAACAGGGTTTTCGGCCTGTGGATTATTTTTTTTCTTCTTCGGACTGTTCGGACAAGGTCTTGCCGGGCAGATATCAGGATGATGGGTATGTTTCTTAGGCTTGTGATACTTAAGTAGGTTACCGGGTGCCTGTTGATAGTAGCTGTACCTTTACCGAGTGGGCCGGCAGAAAGGTATTTTTGGCCGGGCCGGCTGACTGTTTACCTTTTAGCGTTTTTTAGGACCAGAGTCCTTTCGTTTAGGGACTACGGTCTGTACGAATTGTTTGTGTCAGCAGTTCTGTGTACCAGGTCAGACTGGCAGTACTATAGTAAGACCCGATCTGACGACATGAGTTTTCGTAGTGATGTTTGTCCGTTACCAACTATAAGTTTGTGTGAGTTTGGTAGACCTCTTTCGACGGCCTCTTTTCCGCACTTGCGGTAGCGGTCGGGGGACCGTGGAACGAGTTTGGCGGATCATTGGGTTGGTGAAAAGTATGTGGATCGATTTGAGTTCTACATTTTTTTTGCACTATCTTACTTGTCCTACTCTGCTTGGAGTGACTCTCATTGCATACTTTGCGTGAGTTCTGACCAATCACCAATCATCTATTGGTGGGGAGCAACACCTGCTGGAAAACGGGTCCAATATACTGTTTATGCTTCCAAAATACGAAGTTGGACGAATCTAAAAACTTTAGGATATCTACTTTATAGGAGTTTATACCACTTATTTTTATTTGTTTGTGGTTTCAAGTCTTATTTTATTAGTGGCATGATTGGAGTTGTAGTACTTACCTTTTTTTTTTTTCTTTTTTTTTTAATTTTAAACAAAGCTCCATCTATTGGTGGGGAGCAACACCTGCTGGAAACCGGGTCCAGCGTCCCATAGATACAACCATATCCTCACAAATCGGCACGAACTGGGAACCGGGCCCAGCGTCCCTTAACGCGAGTACATTCGAAAAATTCATCAGGAATTTCATGAAAATAAGACTAGGAATCCTTGGACCTACTAGAAAAATCCAATTGACCTAAGAATGGAATTTGAAAATTGAGATACCAGGGTCATTACCCGGCGTTGGATCGAAGAATTGGGCAACTCCAACCATGTCTATGACCACATCATGATTCAAAAACGACTCAGAAGGACCCCCATCAATCCACTTTACCTCCCTCCGGCAGGACTGACTGCAGCGGAGCCACCATCTCAGCTGCTGCTATGCCATACTCCCATCTTGCCAGCTAGCCCCCTCACTGGTAGGACGCGTGATAACCCACCATCTTCTCCCATTCTCCTTATTTTTTTAAGAATAGTATTGGAAGATTAAGATACCGGGGTCATTACCCGACTTTGACTCAGAGATATTGGAGCAGCTTCAGACATGTCTACAACAAACTTCATGGTTTAGAACAGATTTCAGGGACGACTTAAGAGAACCCCCCATCACACCACTTTACCTCGCTCCGGCAAGACTGACTGCAGCAGAGCCACCATCTCTGCTGCTGCTGTACCATAGTCCCATCCTACCAGGTAGCCCCCTCCCTGGCAGGACGTGTGATAACCCACCCTCTGCTCCAGCTCGCCTTATTCGCTATTTGGAAAAAGGAGTCACACCCCCAAACAATTCTCTGCTCCCCACTCCAGCAAGACTTTCTGCAGCAGAGCCACCATCTCTGCTGCTGCTGTGCTCTATTCCCATCCTACCAGCTAGCCCACGCACTAGTAGGACGCGTGATACCCCACCATCTTTTTTCGAAAATTGCAATCGCAGCAGTTCTGTCTTCATCATCGAAAGGGAGATCCCGACAGACCGGCAAGTGCAACAGTTCTGTCTTCGTCATCAAAAGGGAGGTCCCGGGTATGTTCTAATGAGGTCAGCTGACCACGGCCGATACCCATCGAGACTACACTCAATGCCAATCGCATCCGTTCTCAACCACCCCCATCCGAACCCCCTTCACCCTCCCCAACTCCGTCCTCGTGAAGGGTTCGAAGGATCAAATCCTTAGCACGAGCCAGACACAATCCTCATCCTACAATCTCCTGCCCCCTCGAAGATTCCAGTTTCCGTCATCGATAGGGTAAACCAGCGCTGCCCGAGGCCAATCACACCAAGGTGATCCCTTATCAGTCG